ATATATATATCCAGAGCTTGTGTGACAATGTGATGTTTCCAAACCAAATTTCTCTAATCCATGAGAATCTAAAAAACTCAGTCTTGCCAAAAGTGACCTCGTGAATTAAAATAAAAGTGAAAAAACAACCTCTTAACACAGCTTAATCCCGGTTTGTTATCAATCAGGTTCATCGGGTATATCCAATGAAAGTCAGGCCTGAGACCTTTCATTTTGGCCTAAACTAAACTAACAGTGAGCAAGAACGTGTGTAGGCGTTTTTCTTTTCACTTTTATTCAAGTTGTGCTGCCCTAAATTATTCATTATTATTTGGGGGCAAAGAGAAAGTTTTTACTGCTCCTTGGCACATCAAAGCTTCTACATTTGTTCATACTCACTGGCACTGTGCCGTCCCCCAGCCGGTGAAAGTGTGTCTCCTCAGCAGAGAGACCCTTGTGGGGATAATACCCGGCATCAGTGAGCCCTGCCTGCTGCTCGAACTTCTGGAGGCTCTCCTGGGTCTGCTCTGAGTGAGGATGGGCATACAGTTAACAGTGGAGACAGAATGAGCCAGTGTTTTCAGATGCTGCACTCCATTATAGCAACCTCTGAAGATTGTGATGTTTACATAATTATGTGTCATGTAGTAATGGAAGTTAGTGTATCTGTGTCTTAACACACACAGGTAGTGTCTAGATATTTATCAAAATGAAAATAAATGTTTATCATTTAGGTTCAGTTGGTTTTGTTGACTTACTGATCATCAGGGTGCTCACTAAGGAGGTGGCTTTGGCTTTCACAACGGGCACTGGGGACTTGACTGGCGATGGTGCCTCAAAGGTCAGCAGCTTCCCATCAACCTTGCCTTCCTGATCACACACGTTTACACTGTTAGGATTAACTTACAAACCAGTTACACAAAAAACAAGAGCAAACCAAATGTGTCCAGGCATCACACAAGCCAATACATACATACATACATAAGGTAACCATTTCCAAATACTTTGGTTCAGATAGTCAGGACAAACAGGAAAGTACCTCTGCAGTCTTCCTGAACTTGTGCTTTGGGATGACAGGGTTGTTCCATAACATGTTGACAGTCAGGTCTGGAGGTGGTGAATGCATGGTGGCATCCATCAGCTCATCATAGCTTACATTGTGCCGAGTCATTCCAATGGGAGACGAAAAGGCGCCAAAGAGACCGGATGATGTTCCAGACTCGAGTGCTAAAGAATGGAAATATGAGGAAAGTATTTCTGACATCGCCGTAAAACTAGCAAATCATTTTTACATGTTTTAAAATGTTAAGATTATCACACCAAAATCTTTCTTCCTGCATTACCTGGAATGTCTCCCCGTCGTGAACTCATTTTGACACCAGATCACAAGGGCTGACCACAGGAGACAGTGTGAAGGTCCACCTAGCTTTGGGCTCCAAACCTTCATCACATGACATCACACAGTGTTACAGGGTCATTGGACAGATAGAAAAAGGTCTGCACCTATGGAAGCAACGTGTGGAGTCCAACAAGATGTTGCTGTCGGTCAGAAGCGAGGCAAATAAATAAATGTCACATGCATGTTTTTATTAGCCTAAGCATGGGCAAGTCAGAGACTAAACAGTGTGAAGTGCATAGTGTCCTGTTTCTGACCTGCTCCAAATAGAACCAAAGAGTCTGATTACAGCACTGTAATTATATCAGTTTATGTAAGTCACCCTCATATACCAGGCTCTCCTCTGCCCAAAACAGAGGGAAACAGCCCGACCGTGAAATAAAGCAGGCTCATATTCACAGGGAAACGAAACATTTTGAATTGAGGAAATACTGCCTGTTTGATAAAATGGAACTAGTTCTACATTTAATACCTCATTGTGTAAAAGGCAAAGACAGCCACTCAAATGAGTCCTCTTTGGTCATGGTGAACCTAATAACCTGTTATCAGTGCTCCTTATCGTTCAGCCTTGGCTGGGCTCACTTTCCATTGCGATCCACCTGCATTTTCCTGACTTTAGGCTGAATGAATGATGAGAAGACGTCGTCCACCATCTGCAAAATCTTTATGCTGGCATTATTTGGATTTTTCAGATTTAGATAAGTGTCTTCGAGTATACTTTGCAGACATGCTAACACCAAATCTGCTGTTGTTCACTTCAGTGCTGTGGGGAGTCAGTTGCAATGACTTGCAAAACAGGAACTGGCTAAATCCCACCACGGGCGTGTGGGAACAATGTCTACAATAATCTGTAAACTAGAACAACATTAACACTTCGGCTACTTTTAGGGAGGCCACCTAAGTACTGAACAAAACCTGTCGAGTATTTAAATCATTAATAGACTGGTATGTGTCAAAAACTACATGCATTGCATTTATTTGTGATTTCTTTTCTCAAATCAGTTCAGTCATTTGCAGCGTTTAAATGAAGGACACCAGCTTGTCATGCACGCTCCATTAAATGAAAATGTAACACATACCTCACCCTGTCAATATTCCCTCTCCTCCCCTGTTGAAATTATTCCACAGCGACACGGGTTTCTTTGCAACAGAGGCGCAGATTTGACAGACTGAACGAACAAATATTGTATGTTTGTTCATCGGTGGGTTCATCCATGACTTTTGGACACGCAGAGAGTAAACAGCCCCCGAGGCGTCCGCCAGTGAGCGCACCATATCCGACAGCGGAGACGGCGGAAGTGATCATCCGAAACTTAAAGCGCTGCAGCCCGCCTGGGAAGACGTGCGATGCAAACGGCATTGTGAAAGAGTAGTCTACTGTTATACAGGCCTACTGCACAATACCAACAAGCAGTGATGGGAGAATAAATCAGATCTTTAACTTAAGCTATTAAGGTATAATTAACAACAGTTAAAGTCCTGCGTTTTTAAATTTGTAAAAGTATAAACATCAATATTAAAGTACCGAGACGTACACATCATGCAGAATAGTCTATTTCAGAATAATGTATATTATGTTATTGAATTATGATCATCAATGAATCAATGTGTACATTGACTTTAAAGTTAAAGCTGGCACATGTGGGGCTGATTTGATTTGATTTAGATTTTTTTTTGTTAATCACAGGCTTGCTTGTAAAATGCCCCATACGGATCAGTAAAGTGTTCTTGATAGGCTATGTCATATTTTTTGTTGTATTATATAATAATAATGCAAAATATAATAATATAAAATATTATATATTTTGATATTTTGCATTATTAATCTCAATCTGGTAAGTAATTTAAATTATCATATAAATGTAGTGAAGTAAGAAATACTATATTTGCCTTTGGGATGTAAAAGTATGAGCTAGCAGGGGAAAAAACACTAAAGTAAGGTAAGTAGCCACTTCAGATAAGTACTTTCCACCAATGCCAGTTTAAATGTCTTATTTCAACATTGAGATGGGCAGGAAGTTCACTATTGAAGGTTTGTAGTTAAATTATGCGTAAGATATTGAACTGCCCAAAATACCATGTTATGTATGAAGCATAGAAAATACTCTTGGCTTTGGTTAAAGTTAGGGCTATGCATACAGTGGTTATGGTAAATCTATTGGGAATGAACTCCAGAGTGTGTGTGTGTGTGTGTGTGTGTGTGTGTGTGTGTGTGTGTGTGTG